GCCCCCTCCTCCTCCTCCTTCTCCTCCTGTTCCTCCTCCCCCTCCTCCTCCTCCTTCTCCTCCCCCTTCTCCTCTTCCTTTTCCGCCTCCTCCTCCTCCTGCCCCACTTCCTCCTCCCGCTCCTCCTCCTCCAGCTTCTCCTCCTCCATAACCCCCTCCCCCTCCTCCTCCTCCTCCTCCTCCTCCTCCGACTCCTCCTCCTCCTCCTCCTCCTCCTCCTCGCCCCCCCCGCTGAGAGGCCTCCGCCTCTAGCAGCTCCCCCGCGTCGCGCAGCAGCCGATCCAGGTCCGCCACGTCGGCGCCGTCCACCCTACGCTCGACCTTACCGCCTACCGCGGGCAGGCACGAACGTCGTCGTCGTCGTCGTCGTCGTCGTCGTCGTCGTCGTCGCCGTCGTCGTCGTCGTCGTCGTCGTCGAAGTGGTCGTCGTCGTCGTCGTGGTCGTCGTGGTCGCTGTCGTCGTGGTGGTCGATATCGTCCCAGACATGCTCGCGTCGTGAAAACATCACGATGGACAATGCTTTGACGTTTTCGGCCTCCGTGGGCCCTCGCCAGGCCCGAGGACGGTCAAAAACTGACTCGGGATGACACGCCGGTCCCCGGAAATGGGTCGAGACTTCTGAGGGTCGACATTGTGTGTGTGTGCGTGTGTGAGTGTGTGTGGGTGTGTGTGTGTGTGTGTGAAAAAATCATGACGTCGAGGGTCTGGACGGTGGTCGCCATCGTCGTCGCGGTCGCCGTGGCCGTCCTTCTCCTTTCGCCTCCTCCTCCTCCTTTTCCTCCTCCTCCTCCTCCTCCTCCTCCTCCTCCTCTTCCTCCTCCTCCTCCTCCTCCTCCTCCTCCTCCTCCCCCACTTCCTCCTCTTCTCCTCCTCCTCCTGCTTCAACCCCTCCTCCTCCTCCTCCTCCTCCTCCTCCTTTTCCTCCTCCTCCTCCTCCTCCTCCTCCTCTTCATGGTCACCCAGAGGCATCAGAAGAGGAAGAGGAGGAGGGGGATTGTCGGCGGCGCGCCTGGGGGGGGGGGGCCATGAGAAGGGGCGGGCCTTCCCAGAAGGCTCGGGAGTCCCCCGGCCCTCTGAGAAGTTTTCTGTGCCTTTCCCGAAGACGCAGACCACTTCTCACAAGGTGCGAATGGTTCTGAGAAGTCCCGCCGCCTTCTGAGAAGAACTTCTCCTTCTCGTCTCCCCCCCATCGCCTGCCGCCGAGGTTGGAGGAGGCGGAGAGATCGACGAAGAAAGAGCGCCACACGCAGAACATGTTCGAGGTCCGTGCGGATTTCCTGCGTGAGTCGGCGCTAGACTCCCCTGTCGGTGCCTCTGGCGCCGACGCTGGTACGCTCCGCGCGCCAGGGGAGCGGAGGGCCCGGCGCCGATCCAAGAAACCCGTGCGGGCCCCCGAAGGTCCATGCTCATGCCGAACTTTCGTCTTCCGGGGGACCTCCTCGATCGATGCCCCAGGTGTAGGGTGACGAGATCTATACGTATCCTCTGCTCCCAGGCCAGGCCCATCCTGAACCCAGCAGCTGTGTATACGCCCTCCTGGCCAAGCCAGGGGAGCGTGGCGTATAAACCGCTGGCGGGTTCAGGATGGGCGTGGCCAGGGAGCAGTGGATATGTATAGATTTTGTTGCCCTAAGGTGTCAACGCTGGGGGGCGGCCCTCCACGAAGGCGGACGGGCTTCTGAGAAGGCAGCTTCTTTAACGGGACGGGGCCCAGAGACACACAAACAAATAGACACACACAAATCCCAAGATTCCTTATTTTCCCACGTTTTCTTGAGTTTCGTCTTCCCTAACCTCCGTCTCTTGAGCCCCGAAGTCACCAGTCAATGCTGGCGGCACCCCCGTGGGCCCGCACCAACAGTTCACGCAGCCTCGTCTCTGTCAGGGAGGCGTCGTGACCGAAACTGTGCCCGAAAATCTGCCCGAATGTGGCCGAGACAGGCGCCCGAAATTTTCCGACCGCGCCCGAATGTGACCAAAATATTTGCATCGGAGCTCAGACGATTTAAAATTTCGGTGACAATTTCTGTCACACTACGTTTTCGGTAACAACTTCGGGCACGTTTTCGGCCATCGTTTTTTCGCTCACCTACCTTTCTGGTTGATGGTGGCGGGGTGTCATGAAAAGGTCACTCCGGCGAACGAAAGCGAACCCAGGACAAATTCGGGTGAGGATAAATCCAGAATCCCTGAGATCCGCCGGCTCTGGAGGATGTATCTGGCGCAACGGTCCTCTCAGAGCGTTCCGAAACGCTCTTGAACGGACTTATCCGCGTCCTAGTCCCGTCCGACGAAGGATCACTCTTACGCGTACAGCCGGACCCAGGACAGAAGAACATCCCTCGAGAGCATCAGACCCTCCGCCAGCCAGAACACCCCCAACCATCAGGGTACCCCCCCCCGACGCACAAGACCGTCCAACAAACACGAAAAACATCAGGATACCCTCCGGAGCCGACCTCGATCTCACAGCTCGGTCCCATCGTACGCGTAGCTGGATTCGTCCCGGAGGTCCCAGCCAGAGTGTGCCCCAGGGCAGCCGCTGCGGCCGGGCAAGGGCGGAACGCTGAGGAGGTCTCCTCCTCGTGAAGGACCTCACGAGGAGGAAAAGGAGGAGGAGGAGGAGGAGGAGGAGGAGGAAAAGGAGGAGGAGGAGGAGGAGGAGGAGGAGGAGGAGGAGGAGGAGGAGGAGGAGGGGGAGGAGGGGGAGGAGGAGGGGGAGGGGGAGTCCCCGCACGAAGGCGGCCTCGGACCAGCCCCGGCAGTAGCCCCGCGGCGTGCGCAGCCGGGCGCCCAGGTCTCGGGCAGGGCTCGAGCGGGCAGCGCCCTGCCGGAAGGCAAGGCCGAGGGGGGGGGCTCGGCTGTGGCCGCGGCGAGCCTCGGCTCCGAGCAGGCTCCCCCGGCCTGGGCCTCGAGGGAACGGCCCGACAAACCGCAGCCCCTCCGGAGCCCCGGGTGGTCCCAATTTCTCGACGAGCGCGTTCCACTGCTCGCAGAGTAAGTACTCGCAAGTGGCCTGGCTGCGCCGCGGGGGATCCACGACAAATCTCATCGAAGCAAGCATCTGTTTGTCGGACGTTTGCGAGTGGGCACTTTGCGAGTAGTGACTGGAACGCGCTTGGTGAATTTCAGTGTCTTGACTGTATCGGGGGCGGCCAAGAGGGGGGGGCTCCCTCGCCGAATCGGACGACAATGGCATCGGGGCCGCTGTCCTCGCCCAAGAGCCGCGCAGCTCGCGTGAAACTGTCAGCGCCGCTTCGGCGCGGCGCATGCTTCGTCTTCGCCGCGCTCATCAGAGGTTTTGCCGCTTCCGCCCCTGAGGGGCCCGCGTAGTTTCCCTCCGACAAGTCGTCAGAAGCGGGACCGCGCGCGAGCGCCGCCCGTTCGCCAGGTGGGGGCGCGTTCCGATCCCAAAGCCAGTCTGTGCTGCCACCGGCTCCTGTGCTGCGGGAGTGAGGGTGGGAATGGGCGGGGGCCCGCACTCGTGCGGCCTGGCCAGCCTGACACGTCCTCTCGCTCCTCCTCCCCCCCGCTCCCTCCTTTTCTAGAGGAAGGAAGAATGCCGTGCACAAAAACTTGTAGCGCTCCGCGCGGATTTCTATGAATCATAAACTTGCTTCTGCAACAGGAAAATCATCAGGTGTTGGCCCATGTTGCTCACCTCGCCTCCTCCTTACTTACGCGCCTTTGTCCGCGTCGCGGGCGGTGGTTTCTCAGGCGGTGCAGGCGGATGTTTGCTGGAAGCGGCGGAAGTATTCTGGTGCTGCTCCGTGCCTGGTGTGGAGGAGCGGCGGCTTGGCTACTCTCAGACAGGTGTTGCGCGCCTACTCGTGCTCCTTTGCAAAGGCGCCCGGCGCGCCACTGCTATGCCGTACCCCGCTATTGGAGGCCCGTGCCGCGACGCTCCCAGGGCTTTGGCGTGGCGCGCCCTGCTCCCTGAAGCCTCGGCCGGTCATGCTCCCTGATAGGAGCCGCGCCTGTGTGCTTCCTGATGGGAACGGCGCCGCCAACTCTCCTGGTAGGGAGCTCTGGCGCGCCGACTCCCCTGATAGGGAGCTCGCAGGCCATGCTCCCTGAAAGGGGCCTCAGGCAGCGAATGCTCCCAGAAAGGAACTGCGCCTAAATGCTCCCTGATAGGAGCGGCGCCGCCAACTCCCCTGATAGGGAGCTCTGGCACGCCGACTCCCCTGATAAGGAGCTCTGGCACGCCAACTCCCCTGATAGGGAGTTCTGGCGCGCAGGCCATGCTCCCCGACAGGGGCCTCTGGCAGAGAATGCTCCTAGAAAGGAGCTGCGCCTAAATGCTCCCTGATAGGAGCGGCGCCGCCAACTCCCCTGATAGGGAGCTCTGGCGCGCCAACTCCCCTTGGTAGGGAGGCCTGGCGCGCCATGCTCCCTGCGAGGGGCCTCTGGCCGACGGTGCTCCCTGGAAGGGGCTGCGCCGCAACGTTCCCTGATGGGAGCGGCAGTTTTCCCACCCTCGCCGCCCTTTTGCGGCTGTCGCCGGCGCCCTGTCCTGGCTGGGTGCTTCAGGGGTGATGCCCAGAAGGCGCCAGCCAGGCAGCGCTTTTCACGTGCCCCTTGCTGGCGCAAGGGCGCAAACCATTCCTAGCGCCATGGGCCAAGGCGCCATTCTGATTTTCTGGATCTGCGCTGGACCGCCCCTCCCTGGCGCGCGGAGCGCGCCAGGGGCTGCGCCGGAGGCGTTTCCGGGGGTGGCCCAGGGCGGATCCAAGAAGTCCGCGCGGAGCGCCAAAGCTTCATGTCTCTGGCGTTTTTCTCAATCGATCCTCAACCCCGCTCGTTCCTTTTTCGATCCCGCTGCTCGTCGCCCCCTTCTCCCTCCTCCTCCTCCTCCTCCTCCTCCTCCTCCTCCTCCTCCTCCCCCTCTCCTCCTCACTCCCCTTCTGCTCCCTTGCCCCTCCCCCCCCTCCCTGCCGTGCGCGTTCCGCTGCGCGCCCTGCTGTCGGCCCGGTCGCGCGCCTCGGATCAGCATCACGGTCGGCACGCTGCGGATGTGGCGCTGCTCGACGAGCTGTGGCGCCGCGGCCAGCTCCTCCGGGAGGGCGCGTTGCAGGCCGAGGAGGAAAAAGGCCCGAGGGAAATCGAGACGCATCAGCGGTGTTGCAATACCGCGCCTCCCTCCGAACTGCCTCCCCGCAGGTCCCGACACATTAATTTATGTCAGCAGCGGGGAGTGTCCCGCTGGAAGACGGGAGCCCCGAATCGAGCCGAAACGCAATTCCTGGGACTTCAACGCTGAAGGCCTACAGTACTGTTGCGTCCTGGCGATCCTGAATCCTGCCAAAACACCATTCCTGTGATTTCAACACAGAGAATCAACGTGAATGTTGCGCCCTGGCATTCCTGGATCGTGCCACAACACCATTCCAGAGACGTCAGCCATGAACATTTTTAACATGGCTGGACACTTTGAGGACGCATATGCGCGGCGCCAAACGAAACCATATTTTGGAAACCGCCCGCCCTGCATCCGATAACCTCTTGCAAGTGTTAGGACGAAGCTGTGCGGCGCTAAAACGAAAATCGCATTTTGAAAACGGCCCGCCCTCCATCGTGCAACTCTTGCAAACTGGTAGGGCGAATGTTCGCGACGCTACTGCGAAGAACCGCATTTTGAAAAAGGGGCCGCCCTCCATCCGTGAAGCTGCACATGCTTCAGACGAATGTGCGCGGCGTTCCGGCGAAGTCCACATGTTGAAAGCAGGCCGCCCTCCATCAGCGAAGCTCTGGCAAATTGTTGAGACGAGTTTGCGCGGTACTGGAACGAGAAACACATTTAGGACGGGGGTCGCCCTCCCCGAACCGTGCATCTGCTGCAACTTTATAATGTCAGGATCATAATATGTGAAGAATCCTGAATGATTACAAGGAGAAGCGGAACCATAAGATAGGGGAAGCAGAATCAGTCATTCGCTGCTAACTAAAATGCGGCCGCGAACTCGACAATGGAGAGAGAGAGAGAGAGAGAGAGAGTGAGAGAGAGAGAGAGAGAGAGAGAGAGAGAGAGAGAAAGAGAGAAGAGAGAGAGAGAGAGAGAGAGAGAGAGAGAGAGAGAGAGAGAGAGAGAGAGAGAGAGAGAGAGAGAGAGAGAGAGAGAGAGAGAGAGAGAGAGAGAGAGAAAGAGAGATAGAGAGAGAGGGAGAGAGAGAGCGACAGAGAAAGCGACACACACACATGTGTACATATATACCTACAGATCGATGGGTACTTCGATGAATGGATGCACGTAGACATGCATGCATCGAGAGGCAACGAGAGACATAACCACAAACAGAAGGAGCGAGCACCGTGCGGGTGCACCGCTGCGCTCCAGGGTTCGTGCTCCTGACCACCACCTTGGTCCCGGGCGCGGACGCTTTCTCGACCGTCTCCAGGCTCAGCTCTCCGACCTCGCGCGCGGCCACGCCCCCCCCCGAGAAAAAAACAAAAACCTGCCCGAAACCCTTGGCCCGCGACGGCGCCGCTCAGTCCATGCCAGAACACTCCGTCCATCCTGGGAATGCACGCGCAACCTCAACCTCAACGCTCGCGGTCCAAACCCCGTTGCCCCCGCCGAAACAGCCGCCTTGCACTGCGCTGTCGGCGACCCCTTCACCCTGTCGCGGTCGTGCGCGCCAAGCGCGTTTTTCGCCAGCTGCGCCGGGCCATCCGTTGCGATGGCGTGCGCCTGGCGCGCAAGGACAAACAGACGGACCCCGGCGAACGCGACGCCGCTCACCCACCCACGTGGCAAACAGGGCGCGCGCAACCACCCAGCCACGCGACGTCGCGACGAAGCATTCGCATACCCCTTGCAGGCCTCCTGGCCCAGGAGCAAGTCTTCCGCTTCCGCGAACTTCTGCGCCACCGCCCCAAGGGCGCGGCCGAAAGACATGGCAGCAGCCGTGCCGGGGGCAGTACAAGCGGCAAAACACGCAGGAATCCGCCAGCGCGGCTGCATTACCGCGAGCCCACAACAAAGGGCCTGTGCCCGACGAGCGCAACAAAATCAAAACGCATGTCCACATGCCCGCTGCACGGAACCATTCTTTTGCATTGCCATGGTGCCAGCTTCTGAAAGAGCACAATATGGGATGACAGGACAAGAACACCGTAGAAAATAAAGGAAGACAGCACGAACGACATTTGCAGGGATGATCGAGAGGGGCAGCAATGCGCAGCACGCGAGGTGTATATGGGAGCAGGACAAGGAAAGGTGGAGCTGCATGATAGATACGACGGCCAATGGACTAGAAAGGTAAACGGAGGGGAAGGAGACGAATGATAGAGGTATGACAGACAAGCCCATGCTGGTGACGCCGACGATTGCGGTAGATGTGGGTGACGGCGCAAAATGCAGGATGCTGATGACGATTGTGAAAAGAATACGCTGCTGATGGGGATGGTGCGCGAACGTATTCTCCGCAGGAGTCGCGGTGCTGCGCCAAGCAGCACCCCCCCCCGCCCGCGAAAAAACGCAGGATCGGAGGCGGGGCGACATTGACGACGCAATGCCTCGGAAGATTCCCGGGCGTTCCTCCCCTCCATGCACTTCGTCCACTCAGGCGCAGACGCAGAAACGCCATGCGAACGGTATCAGCAGCACAAGTACCACCGCAAAAATGCGATAGCTTCCCCCTTCTAGCACCGCGCTCCGACAGAACGTGACGATGCAGCGCTGACAAAACAACGCCTCCGAGAATGCGCAGGCGTTTTGCTCTTCCAAGGATATCATCCACTGCGACCGCAGCGCGAACCTCTGCCGCAGACGCATAAAACCATTCGAACGCTCTCAATGGCACCAACAACATCGCAACGCAAAAATACGATAGTTTTGCCCTTCCAGCGCCGCGCACCCAGAGAACAAGGCCAGCCACCACTGACAACGCAGCGCCTCCGAAAATGCGCAAGCGTTTTGCCCATCGACGGGCGTCGTCCACTGCGACCGCTGCGTCAACCTCTGGCGCAGACGAAGAAGCGCCATGCGAACCGTATCAGCAGCACAGGCACCACCGCAAAAATGCGATAGCTTCCCCCTTCTAGCACCGCGCACCGACAGAACGTTTGCAGGAGGCACTGACAAAACAGAATCCCCGAGACTGCGCGAACGTTGCTCTTCCACGGAAGTCACCCACTGCGACTGAAACGCAAACCTCTGCCGCAGCCGCAGAAAAAAAAAAAGCCATGCGAGCGCTCGCAACGGCGCAAACACCATCGCGCAACATGCGGTAGCTTCTCCCTTGTAGCGCCGCACGCCCAGAGAACAAGGGCCAGGCGCCGTTGGCAACGCAGCGCCTCCGAAAATGCGCAAGCGTTTTGCCCGTCGACGAATATCCTCCACTGCGACCGCTGCGTCGACCTCTGGCGCAGGCGCAGAAATGCCATGCGAACGCTAACAGCACTACAAACACCACCGCACAAATGCGACAGTTTCCCCCTTCTAGCGCGGCGCACCGAGAGAACGTGACCGGGGGGCACTAGCAAAACAGAGCCTCCGAGAATGCGCGCGCCTTTTGCCCTGCCACGATCTCATCCAGTGCGACCGATGCGCGAACGTCTGCCGCAGACGCAGAAACGCCATTCGAACAATCTACACGGCGCATGCACCGACGGCAAATTGATAATCTCCCCTGTCTAGCGCCGCGCAACCTGGAAACAAGTGCAAACAATGGGCCACGCCCAGACACGCAGTGCCGGGCGCCCGAGCAGCCCGTGCCCCAAGGATAAATAACACTCGCAGTGCGTATCCCAGTCGGCGCCTGGTGAACGCAACCTCCGAGCCGCGAACGCACCCGGAGCGCGCCGAAACTACCGATCGAATCGCGGATCTGTTCGAAGACCCACAGCAGCGCGCGCGGCGCAGCAAGACTCAAAGTGGCCAAATGACTCCGCAGACTCAAACAGTGCACTCGTGAAGACTCAAACTGCCCACTGTGCCCAAAAGACTCAGGAGACTCTCAGCAGCGCAGGGGGCTCAGAAGACCCAGAACAACTCAGAAGATTCAGGTGGGCACCCGTGCGCCGAACGCTCCTGTGGCGTGTCCCCGCCAGTGCGCACAATGGGCGCGCAATTCATCGCGAGACCACCGTTCGCCGAGCGATTCGATGGGCGTCAAACCCGCCAACGCTGAACAGAAAACTTGCTCGACAGACTCAGGGGACTCCAGCCGAAGACTCAGAATGACGCAGACAGAGTCGCTGCGCCGAGAAGACTCACGCGACTCAATTTGGCACCGAAGACTCACCAGACTCAAAAGACTCACAGGACTCATCGCGCCAGTGCGCGCGCTGGTGGACGCCCATGCGCCGAACGCGCTTGCAAAGTGACAGCGCGCAACCTTTGCAGACATATGACCGCGGCGCGACCGAGCGCTGAGCGATCGGATGCGCGCCCAGACCGCCGGATCTGAACAGGAAACGCCCCCGAATCAATCAGGGGACTCAAACGGCCAATTCGTAAAGACTCAACCGGGCTCGCTGCGCCGATAGACTCAGCAGACTCGCATTGGCGCCAGGGGGTCGGAGAACGCAACGGACTCGCAAATCTCAGCTCACAGTGCCCGCAAGTTTCACTGTGGCTGGAAGGCCAGCAGACTCAACGCAGCACAGAAGACTCTAACATATCAAAGAACCATCACACAGACAAATGAATCAGCCATGCGCTCCAGACTCAAAACAACACAGAATACTCATCAAGACTCACCGTGCCCGCAAGACTCGTAAAACTCAAATGGAAAACTCATGTAGATTCAAACGGGCTCGCTATGCTTGGAAGACCCAGAGACTCAAATGACAAGACCACGGCCACTTCTCGACCTTTTAAACGCGGCCACTTCTCGCCCGCTTCTTTTCGCACGGCCGTCTCGAGGGGCGCGTCCGCTGAAAGACGCGCTGTGCGTCGCGACGACGACGAGACCCAGAAAACGATGCGCGAGACTGCCAGGAACCACAATGCCCACATTCGACTCACAGCGTCTGCTGACACGGCGCGAACGCTCGAGCGCACCAGCGCGCCGACGGTCTCTGCGTTTCCTGGCTGCTCTCTCCCAGAACGCACCGCGTCACGCATTGCAAGACATCATCTCTGAGAAGCTCTCCTGCTCCACGCCGGCCACTGATGACAGCGAAACTCTGTCAGACTGCAATGGCGCCCTGAAGGCCCGCGAAACAGGCGCCTGCACATGGCGCTTCCGAACGCCAGCCCCCCCCCCCCCCCCGCTGCCTCCTCATCGCCCCCGTCTGCGTCCTCCTCCGCGCGCCCGCGCTCCTACAATTGGCGTTCCTTCTTAGACTCTTCCCCCCCGCCTCCCCCGCGCCATCCTTTACCTGTTCCTCCGAGCCCTCGCCGCTATCGCCCTCTTTCTTGGACGAGCCGCGCGTGCGTCCGGCTTTCCCCTCCAGGTCTCCGATGCCGTGCTTTGCCTCAATGCATCCCCGCCGGCCCTCTCGACCTCTCCGCGGGGGCCCGCCCTCGACTCGGGCCTCGAACGACTGTGCGGGGCGGCCCAGATCTCACCAGAATACTCGCGACGAAGCGCAGCTTGTGGAACCCGGTTGGCTTTCGGGCCCCAGCTCGGGCCTCGAGCGGCCGTTTCGGAGGGCCCGGGCCCCCCGAGAACGCTCTCGACGAAGCGCAGCTGATTTTTGCCTGTTTTTGCAATGCGAACCGACAGGTGCGCGCGCATGCTTGTGCGCCTCCTGCTCCGCACCAGCTGCTGATGACGTCGAAGCTCCGTCGATCGCATAGCGCGCCCTGAAAGCCCACGAGCCGGGCACGTGCAACTGACACTTCCCAATCCAAGCCCCTCTGCTCACTCCCCCCCCCCCCCCCCCCCTTCTGCATCCCCCTCCTCTAACCCGCTCTCCTGGCACTCATCCCTCACTTCCTCCTGCTCTTCCTCCTCCTCTTCGCGCTCCTCCGCCTCCTCCTCCTCCTCCTCTTGCTCCTCCTCCTCTTGCTCCTCCTCCTCCAGCTCCTCCTACTCCTGCTCTTCCTCCTCCTCCTCCACCTCCTCCTCCTCCACCGCCTCCTCCTCCCCCGCCTCCTCCTTCTCCCCCTCCTCGTCCTCCTCCCCCTCCGCATCCCCCTCCGCATCCTCCTCTTCTGATGTCTTCCACGAACGCCCTCGCCAGCGCATGCTTGCCCGACTTCGCCGCGTCGAGCGCTCGCCACAGCGTTCTGCGACTAGGGATCGCCAGTGGCACGGGCGCCTCCGCCTCCAGACGTCCAAGAGCTGCAGACACAAACGCAGCGTCAATACCAAAATAAGCAACCATTATGGCCATCCAGTTCCCTCCCAGTCCGGCACGAAACTGCGCATCAAGTATGATGACGGGGCAAACCCAATTAAAATGCAAGGCCCTTGGGAATCCAACTTGGCCGTCTCAAGCCGCCCACTGACCCCGGAAT